ATGGCCCATTTGCAAATAGACAAGAAATAAAGGTAATTATATTAATCTACTCTCTGTTTATGATCTCCTTCATCATCTAGAAACATCCACCCTCAGGGTGGGGGGGATTTGAACTATTACAGAAACACTATAAAGAAAAGGAGAAAGAGAAAGTTAATGCTCAACCTATAACATCGTAAGTGGAATGTTTTATGCTGTGAAGAGATAAAAGACTTTAAAATCCAAGTTTATTAAGAGAAATAATGTTTCTATCATCCCTTCCTTTCCCCCTTTTACGATAACACAAAGCAAGCAAATGTAGGACACAGGGTCTTTCATAGACTAGAGAAGATATCCATTCTACCTATTATGCAGGCCATGTTTTTTTCTTAGATTAGTTTTATTTTGAAATAATTTTATATTTACAGAAAAGTTGTATAGATAGTAGAATTCCTGTATATCCTTCACCCAACTTTGCCTAATGTTTATATTTTCTATAACCATGCTATTAAGTTGGAGATTAAAAACTTCACATTAGTACTATACTCAGACTGTATTCTCACATCCCAGTTTTTCTACTGTCCTTTTTTTTTCAGCCCAACTTATGAAACCGTATTAAATGTAGTGCATTAATGTCCTCCAAGTTGTGACTGTTTCTTGTTCTCTCCTCGCCTTTCAGGACCTTAACTGTTCTGAAGAGAATTGGTTAGGTATTTTATAGACTGTCCCCATTTTGAGTTTGTTTAATGTTGTTTCATGATTAGACTATCCTTATAGCTTTGGTGGGAGAAAATAAGAGAGGTGATGTTAGGTCATGAATGTTTATCCTTGATGTATAAGAATAAACTCCGGAGGAAATAAAAAGCTTCTCCTTCTGGACCCCAGAGATGGCAGGGAGAGAAAAGAGGCAGAAATAGGGCAAGTAAATAAGATGATCTTAGGGTTTCGGTTTTTATTCTCCTCTGCACACACACCTTTTTGGGGCTGACCCTTATGGGAACGGCAGCTTAGTAACAGCTAGGTATGTATAGGGTTATCACAGGTCATCGGGTTAGTGGCTCACTTTCCCAGATGCAGGCTCTGGGTGGTTGTGTGCTGGTAAATGTTTAATAGCTGGCTGGGGGGTGGGGAGGTAAGGGAGGGTGGAATGCTGATTTGTAATATTTGCCAATTTCTAAGACATAGTATTTCTATCATGGCCGATTTCAAGCTACCAAAGTGATGTCACTGAATGCAGAGTTGGGAAGAACTGTGTGGTGGCACACCATTAAATATCATTATGTAGTATTTCCACCATACACATATGATAGGCAAAGATAGTAGTAAAGTGTAAAACAATAAACAGGAAGTGATGAGTTGGAGACATTAATTCTTTATTTTTAATATAATATATTTGACTGTAAGTTTATATTGTTTAATTTTCAACAATGGCCATGTTTAAAACCTGGCTCACAAAATTCCTGAAAATTTAAGAATCAGCTAAGGTATAAGCTGCCTCCAATATTCCACTGCTTCTAGAAGACTGACCATTTGGTTCAGCACAACATTCCATGTGACTCAGGAGGTACAGAGGTGACAGCAGAAGGTGGGTAGATATATGGGACTTAGAAAGCATCTGTCTCATCATGACCTTTGTGTGGGAAGCAGGATCCACCAGGCTTCTTACTTCCCCACTGACAGTGTTGGTGGACTGGCAGAGGTCTAGGGGAAAAGAGGTCATGGGGTCTTTTTGATGCTTGGGGAAACGTTCAGAACTATGGCAGTAGCGGTAAGAGCAAGCACACAACATCCCAAAAGATCAGTTGGCTTCTAGTTATATTTCAGTGGTCCCAATTCCAGGGGAGAAGATAAACTGAGCCTCTCCATAGTAGAAACTATTGATTATTTAGAGGATAGTGCATGATCCCAGGGTGTCACAAGATTATAATAAGACCCCACTCATGTACCCAGATCTATGTTGGGAATGAGATGGAAGAGGAAGGTAGAGAATCTAAGAAAGACTGTGCATTTTCCTATAAGAGACCGTGTCATCTATAACAATGTCACTCAAAGTGTGGTCCAAGGGCCAGTGCCAGTTCACAAACTGTTCCTGTTCGGGGGTGATATAAATACAGATGAAAGTTCATATTTAGAAACATATCATAAATTGACATTGCCATGACATCCTAGTATGTGATCAGTGGACTGATCTTGTTAAATAGGATATAACCAGTTCAGGTGTGTGGAACTGGCATGGTGAGTTGCTTGTGGCAAAAGCTGAATACTGGTCATGTGTAATAGAATTATGTATTTGGTACATGATTGGAAAAATCAATCAGTTTGAGGAGCATTAATCTAAAATAATTTTTAAATAATCACTTTTGGATATGAAATAAACTCTGAATAGTTTGAATCGGAGGTTCTTAAAGTGTGGCCTATGGACTAAAAATGTCAGCATCACCTGGGAACTCATTAGAAATGCAAATTCTAGGGCTCCACCTCAGATGTGCTGAATCAGAAACCTTGAGGGCAGACCCAGTAATCTGTGTTTTAACAAGCCCTCCAGGTGACTGATGCATGTTTGCATGTTTGATTTTAAGAACTACTGGCTTCAATGTTGAAAGTGAAAGAAATATGTTCAAGCTAGAGGAGAATGAAACGCTATAATTAAGTGTCAATTATCCCTGCTAGACTGCAGAGCTGGAAACCATGAAGAGGATCAGACCAGGCAGAAAAAAGAAAGACAACTAAACTTTCTTTGCACACTATATTTGAATGACATGCAAGTAGATGAGGCCAAGATCTAGAGTTGAACACTCATAGTGGATGATCATTTTGGATTTTTCTCTACAAGATTACTACTACAAGCTTACTAGTTGCAGCTCCACATTCTTTTTCTCTTTTTTTTTTTTTTTTTTTGTGGTACTGATGGAGTTTCACTCTTGTTGCCCAAGCTAGAGTTCAATGGCGTGATGTCAGCTCACTGCTACCTCTGCCTCCCGGGTTCAAGCGATTCTCCTGCCTCAGCCTCCTGAGCAGCTGGGATGACAGGCATGCACCACCGCCAGGCTAATTTTGTATTTTTAGTAGAGACGGGGTTTCTCCATGTTGGTCAGGCTGGTCTTGAACCCCTGACCTCAGGTTATTCACCCGCCTCGGCCTCCCAAAGTACTAGGATTACAGGTGTGAGCCACCACATCTGGCAGGCTCCACATTTCTAAGCATAACCCATTTCCCAGCCCACATCAGCCTAGAAGGGTCACAGTACTGGCAACAGAAGAGTATTTCTCTAGCTTTATTCTTACCATACAGTTGCTGGCTTGCTGGCTTTTCTCACATTCCCTACAAATACTACTACTATTAATAGTTGAATTAATAGTTCAATTACCCTCTTAGCTAATTTGTGTCAGCCATCTTTCTCCCTCTCTGCCTGGGTTGCTCTCCATTCCTAGGTTGCCTCCTTCCCAGGCAAGGTTGATCTGGTTTTAGTTTAGTACCTGATCAACCTGGATATTAGCCGTATTACAGCCCAGAGGAAATTATTTCTGCTGTCTATTTGTGCTCCATTATTTACCGGGGAATGCCACAGGATCTTTTAAGACAAACTGTAATGTGCATACAAATCACTCAGGGCTCTTGTCAATGTGCAGATTCTGATTCAGTAGGTCTAGAATGCCTGAATATCTGCATTTCTAACAAGCTCCCAGGTGAAGCCTATGCTGCTAGTTTCTGGACAATATTTTGAGAAGTGACGTTGAGAGCAGTGATTTTTTCTATTTTTATTATGCCTTCTCCCCAGGTATTGAACACAGGTGAAAGGGCAGTCTTAAGGTAATCAACTGTCCTGGTTTGACAAGGATTGTCCTGGAAATCCTACATTGTGGGATTTCCCTAACTCTTGGGCAAACCAGGATGACTGGTCATCCTAGCCATCTGGATTGGTCGTGCTAGCAATCTGAACAGCTCACCTCCTGCCTCTCCCCTCCATCTCCTTCCCAGCTGACCATGATACCTCTGTCTTGACTCTTTCCCCTTTAGGATAAATGTTTCCCTGAGGGTCTTCATTTTTCCTCCATGTAATGTGCTCTCCTTTGGCAGATTTGTATCCACCAGCCCTAATGACATAGGTGGCTTAGTCCTTGGCATAGGCTTAGCTGCCTACTTTAAACCAGTTTGGAAGGTTCCATTTAATGTTTCCTCACAGTTGGTCAGGACTAAAGGCTTACTTACTTCTGCAGAAAGGTTGGGGCCATATTTGACAGTCTGCTCTCATTTTTGTTTTCACATAAACATTCTCATCCTGCCTGGTCTCTGCAGACCAAGTGAGTTCCCCCAGTGCCTGGAAGCAATGCTTGTTCTGCTTTATCTCTTAGGTAAGTATGGGGATATTATTTGGAAATAGGAAAAAGCAAAATCTTCATCTCTGGAGCTTGGCAAATACAGTGTGTTTTCCAGTACTTCTAATTGTCCTTTTAATGCTGAAGTCATAGATATTGTAGGTACAATCTCCTGCCTTATCATCCTAGAAATACAGCTGTGATTATGTCCACCCACAGTTGAAAATCTTCATTAGCACTGAACTTACAGAAAAATAATTTCCAAACTCCTCACTTTAATACAAAGTCATGGTTCTCAAAACTTTGCTATGCATCAGAATGACCCAGAGAGAAACAGATTGCTGGGTCCCACCCTGAGTTTCAAATTCATAATTATTTTGCATTTCTAACAAGTTAACCGCTGGTATTGACACTGCTGGTCAACAGATCACCTTGTGAGAACCACAGACCCATTCCAGCTAGCCACATTCACATCCCTAACATCCAGTTCTAGTGCATGCTTCCAGAAAGAACCCCTTATTCTCTGCTCATATTGTGTGCTTTCCTACTCCATACCTTTGTTTAATTCATTTACTCACTTATAAATTCATTCATTCAACCAATAACTAATTATTTCACCAAACATTTTTTAAATACCAAAATGACTGGCTCTGTTAAGTGCCATCATGAAATTTATGGTACAAGGGAGAAAAGGAAAAACGATACCCTTTTCATTTGCAGAGTGTTTCTTGGTTGCCAAAGAGCTTCCACATCCAAGCTCCCATTTGATCTTCTCCACAGTCCTGAAAGACCAACAGGGCAGGGATTATTCTACATCTCTCACAAGTGAAGAAGCTGAAGGCTAGAGGGGAGAAGTGGTTCATCCAAGGTAATGCCAATCTGTCTTTCCAATCCTGGGGCAATGGTTTTTCTCTCAATTATACTACAGTTGTCCCTCCCCTTGGCATGCGCAGGGGATTGGTTCCAGGCCACCCCACAGCATACCAAAATCCTGGTATACTCAAGTGGACCCTGCTGAATCCACGTAGAGGAAAAGTCGGTCCTCGCTATACATGGCTTTTTGCATCCAGCAAATACCATATTTTTTATCCACTTCTAGATGACAAGAATCCACTATACGTGGACCCACACAGTTCAAACTTGTATTGTTCAAGGATCAACTGTGCTTCAGTCATGACTCATTGTATTTCCTCTCTCCTTGCTTTCCAAACTATACCCATTCTTTAAAGCCCAAACACTACCTATTCCATGAAACCTTTCCTGGTAACCCCGGTTAAAATGATTTTTACTGCTTAAAACTAGGACAGTGCTTTATTTTGTCTCTCTAATGGCATTAAAAAATATCTCCCTTTCTAGATGCTAATGTCCTTGAGAACAGAACAATACCTGACTCTCCTTTGTGTCTCCGATAGCACTCAGTTCTTAGTTCATAGCAGAAATTTGATAAAGCACTGAGAAATGAAGGATGAAGAGATGCAATTTTGCCTGTTTTAAAATTTACTCATAAGATAATCAATGAAGGATATATGTAAAAATAAAAGTAGAGCTGTCTGTTATCTTTTTTCTTTCTACCTCCATAAATAGGGGTGGGAAGGACTAGCATTAATTGCTTGCTGGATGCCAGGTGTTTCATGTTACAACATTTTTGCTCTCATAACCTAATAGACAAATAATAGATAAATACAATTGTTCTCATTTTCAAGCAGACGTAGTGAAGCTCAGAATTGTTTAGAAATTTGCCCAAGTTCAGACACTGAACTCATGTTAGAGAGGGAACCAAATCCAATTCCATTTAAACTCATGTGGCAAAATGAACACATGAAATTGCTTCTAATTATACTATGATAATAAGAAATGATCCAGTATTTTCCTATATAAAAAAGCAATTCATACGCATCAGTAATCTTGAGATCTTTTGGTAACATTTTTTCTCACTATTTTACTGCTTTTTATTGATTCACCACTTGTTGGTTGAATCCTTTGATCCACTTTTTCAAGAAGGAAAATGAATTTCACTACTACCAGACTCTGGTTCTTCATGTAACCAGTTATTTATGGTTGTGAAATGCTGTCCTGAGACTTAAATGGTAAATCTGTCTTAATAAGTACTATTGTGTCATAACAGAACTTTTGTTAGCAAACAGTGTGGAAGGTTTGGGGTAAATCCTGGAATGGGTCGTGGGAGGCATAAATCCAGAAATGCATTCATGAATAAGCCTGAGAGGAATAATAACTCCAGCAAAAATGAAAAACTCAAACATTAAAGCAATGTGTTAAACATTTACCATATGATAGAGCTGAGAATTATTAGGAAGTTTAACCAAAGGACTTTGCCAATGAATGTCAGATGGACTTAATTGAGGCAATTAAAACACAGACAGTATTAGTGAAATGGTGGACTCACCTACAAGGATTCACATGTGGGTTCTGCAGCTAACTTCTTACAAGAGCAGAGGCCTGCAATATCATGAAAACCAAACAGACACATTAAAGGGGATTGTTCTCACAAATGTATGAAATGCCAATTTGTATCCTTCCTCTTACAGGGACTGCAATATCCTCCCTGGTAAAATCCTGTCAGTTCCATTGGTAGGGTTTGTTACAAAGGTCTTATATCACTAGCCATTAAGATAGCTAACCATAAGCCTTGGTAACCTAACAGATATATATATTCAATGTTAATGAAACAACTTCAAGTAATGAGGGAGTTCAACCAAAAGCTTCCAAATTTTTTTGGATCTGCCAGGTGGAACAAAAAGTTTTAAAGCACATCCTAGTCTCTCTGGGGCACTTAATTCAGAAAAATCCCTTCATAACAACTCTTCTATTTTTTTTAAAAAAACTTTCTATTGTTATTTACCCTGTCAGGTAAAAAGTCATGCATCAAGAGACAGGTGGAATTGGTGACATTGATAGATATTTTCTCTAATTCAGTATTGATAATGTTAATGTAACATTGCTTTCAATAGACAGTTTCAATCACGCATGTATGTATGTTTAGAGATGTGACACAAGCAGGGATCCTGAGCTTACTGAAAGTTAAAGAATACATCAGATATTTGATTTTTGTCACTGCCTCTGGGAAAGAATTCAGAAGCAACCCTTCAGCCAATGGCAGGTAGGTTCCTAGAAACTTCACTATTGGGGAATTCATAGTAAGGATGAATAAAGATCCACATACAGAAATGAAACTTACTAATAGATGTGCCCATCTGAGGACCAGCTGGAGGGAACTGTTTTTTGCCTGGTCACCGAGGGACTCTGAAACAATAAGCTTTGGTAGTAAAATAACAATAACAACAAAATAGCTTATGCTTGCATATTTTCCAAGTAACAAATAGTGTTCTAAATAATTTAATCCTTACAATCACGTTATTAAGTAGTTACTACAATTATCTTCATTTTGCAGGATAACTTAGAAACTCAGAAACAAAAGGTCAATAACTTGTCCCTGGTCACACATCTAATAAGAGATGACACAGGCAGTCTGAGCCCATGTTCTGATCCAACACATGCTACTACTTTTTCGTAGTTGTTTTTTAATATAGGCAACCAACACACATTACTAAAAATGTGAGAAAATGAGAAAAGAAACTATTGTGCTACTAACCTCACATAACTGTCATTAACCTTTTGGGATATTTCCTTTTGATCATATTTATATGCATACATCATATCAGAAGTATTTGCCATGTTGCTAAAAGGGTTCAGAATTTTCATTTTTTAATACCTGCAAAATATCACTCAGACCATGTATACTGCACTTATTTAGCAAATGTTAGCTATTTAGGTTGCTTCCAAAAGCCTAAATAAAGCAGGTTAAAGTGCATGTGGAGCCACGCAGCCTGGTTCAAATCCTTGCCTCTCTATGCACTAGCTATATAATCTTGAGCAAGTTACTTGACTTCTCAATGTTTCCGTTTTCTTATCTGTAAAATGAGGATAGTAATGTTAACTAGCACCATAGATTGTTGTGAGGATTAACCTGCATTAATTGAAATAAAGTATTAAACATTGTCTGTAGATAGTTATTACTATCATAAGTAAGTCTGTAGTGAGTATCTTCATACATGAGGCATGTGCATTTAAAAACTTACATCCTATGGCACATTCCCAGAGATAAGATTACTGAGTTAAAAGACATAAATAATTTTTGTTCAAATAATAAATTCACATTGTCAAAGTATTTCCAAAAAGTGGTATATAGGTTTACATGCCACCAGTTACATGACAGAAATCATTTTCCAATACACCCTTTCTGACTTTGTTAGGTATTAACATCAAACTTTCTACTGCTCATAAGTATGTTCCTCAACAATTTCTAATCTGCTCATATACCCACCTATTGAGTTTTTAATTTCAGTTAATTTTTCAGTTCTGGAATTTCCACTTGATTCTTTATCACAGTTAATAGTAATCTGCTGAAATTTTCTATCTCCTTATACAATTTTTAAAAGATATCATAGATATTTTAAAATTTATTACTCCTATATCTGGATCTCCTCTAGCTCTGTTTTCAGTCATTTTTTCTTGTCTTCTGGTATGCCTGGTAATTTTATTGAATGCCAGACATTGTGTATGAAAAATTGTAGAGATAATTTGGACCTCTGGAAGATCATCTCTTCTTTAAGTGATGTTTTACTTTAGTTTCTGACAGGCAGTTAGGATCTCTCTTAAATTCTTTGCTCTCAAGCCCTCTCCACTGTGGAGCTCTCCAGTGCTTTTAAACAAATGTTTGGTAGGTTTTTTTTTGTTTTTTTTTGTTTTTTGTTTTTTGTTTTTTGAGACGGAGTCTGGCTCTGTCGCCCGGGCTAGAGTGCAGTGACCGGATCTCAGCTCACTGCAAGCTCCGCCTCCCGGGTTTACGCCATTCTCCTGCCTCAGCCTCCCAAGTAGCTGGGACTACAGGCGCCCGCCGCCTCGCCCGGCTAGTTTTTTGTATTTTTTAGTAGAGACGGGGTTTCACCGTGTTGGCCAGGATGGTCTCGATCTCCTGACCTCGTGATCCGCCCGTCTCGGCCTCCCAAAGTGCTGGGATTACAGGCTTGAGCCACCGCGCCCGGCCAACAAATGTTTGGTAGGTTTTATTCAACTTTTCTATTGTTCTACTTGTCCTTATAGGATGAGCTGATCTAAATGTAACAGCTGAAAGTGTAAGTCCTTGACATCAATTTTTAAATGATTAAGCCTAAATATAACACATTTTTTCATTCTATTGTATATTCATTTGATTATTATTAAGGCTGGATTTTTATGTGCTTGCAAATGAGTTATATTTCATATTTTATGAAATGTGATTTCATTCTTATCTCATATATTAGGTATGAGTTTGTATGAGCTCTTGTGAAATAATCATATCAACCCTTTGTTATTATGTTCAAATAATTGCAATTGCACCTAGGCGACTGTTTGCTTGTTACACTGTTGTTTTAACATAATCCAGTGTTTAATACAATCAAGTCTATTTTACTGTTCACTTAGCAATTTTGTTACAATGTTTTAAACCTATAAAATAAAGTCTCATTAGACTTCCTAAGGTTTGAGTTTGGGTAATGCATTTTATGTATATAATGAGTGTAAAAGCTGATTTTTTTCCAAACTGTTAGTCCATATATTACAAAACATTTTCCCTCTCCTTTAATTTGTGGTCCGGCCATTACCAAATATTTCATTTTTATATATAATTTGTTTGCCCACATGTTTTGCCTCATTAATATATTTATTTTGGTGCCAGTATGGTTTTAATTATTATAACTTTATATTTTAATATTTGATAAGAATAGTCACTCATTATTCTTTCTCAAAAATTGTACTTCGCTATTCTTGACTACTTTTTCTTCTAGAGTTATAATAAATCAAATTCCTCTCACCACTACCTCAAAAAGTAAAAAATGAAAGGGAGATTGTTATTATATTTCCATTAAACTTGGGAAATAATTAACAATATAAAAATGTTATCCTTCACACTTGAAACCAGTCTATGAATTTGTTTTTTATCTCTTTTAAAAGTTTATGTGTGAGTTAATGATTGCTGACATTTACACTGTTGACTTATGTTAATGTTTGTATGTTTTAATATTTTACTAATTATTATTTAGGTTTTCATTGACTACTTTGGAGTTTTACACTATAAAAATATTTTTTCAATACATAATGTTGTATCTCTTTTTTCATTCTATGTAGCTTTTCTTTCTTTGGTATGTTTTATTACATTGATCAGAGTTTTATAAATACTATTAAATAATACTATTAAGGTAAAATCATTATAGCAACTTCCATCCCATCTTGTTATAAATATGTACATTTTTAGTATTCTGAACTAATTTTGATATTAATAATTAGGATACAATATTTATTATGTTGAAAAATATTTTATTTTTTCTATTTTCGCCATTTTATCAGGAACAGATAGTAAATTTTCTCTTCTGCTTTCAAAAAACCTATTAATAATTTATTTCTTATTTAACCTACTGATACAAAGTACTTCAGTTGTGTAGTTCCTAAATTTGCAAACTTTTGTACTGCTTGGATGTATATTATTTTGTTGTGGTAAATAATACTGTATTTTTAAAACAGAACGTACAAATTATTTTTTATTTGAAGTTATTTAATGCATAATCTTTCAGCACTATTATTCCTTCAGTAGAATGACATTAGTAACAAGTATAAAATAGTCCCTTTTGTCATGTTTACTGTTTTGGAGTTTTTTTGCCAAAAATTCTGTCCTGTTTGATATTCATATTGTATTTTTGATTTGGACGTGAACATGTTAGGCTGGAAAAAACTTTGCCATTAAAAAATATTTCTGTGTCCTTTTTCTTTAAGTATGACTTTTTTAAGCACCATCAAATCATTAGACTTTCATTTTAATTTAATCTAAGGATCTTTCCATTTGAATAAGAAAATTTAAGCCATTTATACTTGTCATAATTTTTAAGCTTGATTGAACTTAAACTTTCTTCTCTTAAATCGTTCGTTATTGTTGTCTTTCCATTTTGTCTTTTGAATGGACTATGTTTGTCTTTTTATCTTTGATAATTATTTAGAAAATAGATATCCTGCTTTCAATTCAACTAGTGCCAACACTAAATTGTCTACAACTATACTTACATGCATTCTTATTTAATGACTTGAAAATAAAGCAACAATGCTGCTTCTTCTAATGCTTTTATTTCCTTCCTCTCCTCTTTCCACATTGTGATCACTAGGTATAGATGCTTTATTTAAAAATGTAAAACCCTCCAGGATTATTTTACTGAAAACATTGCTCCCTTAGTAAAAAATATCTAGCTATCAGCATCAATTCCCAATTCACTTTGATTTCACTATATTTCACTTATTTTGTCTTTTCCTTCAATGCTTAGTATTAATCTTTTTTACTGGAATTTCTTATTCTTGAGTTTTTATACTATCTCACCTCTCAGTGATCTGGACAATATTTCTCTGCAACTTTTGCAGAAAAGACTTTTGGTTGTTATATTCTCTGATACCTGGAAGATTTTGTTATTCTGTTGCTTTTATGCATAAGTTGATAATTGGGTAGGCATAAAACGTTTTATGGAACAACTCCATTTCTACATAAATAGCTGTAGTTCCAAATATACCATCGTGTTAAAACTAATACTAGCTGGTACAATGAAAATGACGTAGCTAGTGCATCAGTGGTGTTATCTCCAATTCCATTTGTAAAATGGTAGCAAGCAGAAGTAATTGAACTCTCATAAGGAAACAACCAGACTTTCTAGTATACTTCAAAGTTGTTTCTCTTAAAATTATGTGGACATTTACCTGTGTTCTTTAAAAAGTTCTTGTTCTATATAAGAAAGATGAAGGCAATCTACAAAAGCATATATGTTTTTCCTTCACATGTGCTTTAAGACATTTTCTTTGTCCCAGAAATTTAAAAATTTATTTATTTATGTCTTGTATTCCTTAATTTTGCTCAAAAGAAACCCAACAATGTCAGTGTAGTTGTTACATATGGAAAGTTTTCTTTTATTATAACTAAAGTTTTTACTTCTGATCCATCTGCTCTATTTTTAAAACACTCTATTTTATCTATAAATTCAAGAAAAGAATGTTTATTTAACAATAATAGTAAATACTATATGTTAAGCTATCTCTCTGGGGTTCGGTAACAACAAGATGTATATTGCCATTAAGTAGCCCACATTCTAAATTAGAGCTCCATAATTGGTCATCTAATTACCTTTTATCCATTTAACTCTATTCATTTCCTTGGATGTTTAGACTAGTTATGA